CAGAGTGCATAGCAGAGGCCTCCACAGGCCGCAAGGCTTGTGATATCACAGGAATGAACGTGAGATTCGAGAGCCTATCTTTTATCAAGCGAGACATTAAGATATTTGCAAAAATGTAATGGGTTTATTATTGCTAATTAAATATAGAAATATTTTAATACTTCCTATTTTAATTTCTAATATGGTAAATACTGATGACTATTACCCACATAAACAAGAGCTCTCATTTAAGAATGTATATAGGAAATGTGGTACATGCCACATATATCTATCTATATATATATATCTATACCACAATAGGAAAAACATACATACCACGGCATACTACACAGCCATAAAAAGGACTGAGACTATGTCCTTTGCAGCAACATGGATGGAGCTAGAGGCCATTTTCCTAAGTGAACTGGCGCAGGAACAGATAACCAAAGGCCACATGTTCTCCCTTGTAAGTGGGAGTTGAACACAGAGCACGTGTGGACACAAAGAAGGAACAACAGACACCGGGGCCTGCTTGAGAGTGGCAGGAGGGAGAGGATCCCAAAACTGCTCACCAGGTACCGTGCTCATTACCAGGCTGACAAGATCATCTGTACGCCAACTCCCATGACACACAGTTGACCTTTGTAACAAACCTGCGCACGTACCCCGAACCTAAAAGTTAGAAAAAACAAACCCAAAAACCACACAACTCCTGAGACTAAACCCTGAGAGAACTGCTAACTCAGGTGAGGCTACAGAATTAACATTTCGGCTACTCAGAACAATGAGTGTTGAGCATTTGGGAGTCTTGAATCCCTTTTGGAATCTGAGGAGTCACAGGCCTGCCCTCCAGGAACACATATATGGACCTCACATGTGCAGGCAGCTTTGCATAAAATTTCAGTGGTTTCACAGATGGCTTAAGCCCATCTGCTAAGTCCTCATAAGGTACAGGAAGGCAGAACTCAGATGAAGAACTGATGAAGATCAGAAGCCTTCACTCAGCCAACTTTCTCTCTTAATGTTCCAGTCAGCAGTTGGCTCTGCCATCTCAGGCCTGTGGGTCTGTTGCAAAAGCCGACAGCCGTAGGCTGTGTTCCAATAAAACTCAATTTACAAAAACAGACAGCTAGCCTGTGGGCTGTAGTTTGCTGAACCCGATCTAGATTCTAGAGGAATAAATGGAATACATATTCACTACATTATTTTCTGAAACTGAGCTTTTGAATAGAACTAAACGAAAAATTCGAGGTTGTATTATCTGGTAAGATCAAATTTAACTAAATTAAGGCAGATCCCATACTCTCTGACAGTAAGCTGACAAAAGATACAGCTAGAGTCTTTTTATGAAGTTGACAGCCTTCCCAAGGGAGGGTGAGCAAAGCCAAGAATTACCCCAAAAACCTTAAGATAAAGGCAGAAGTGCAGCCCCCAAAATGGTCCACCACTAGGAACAGCCATGACATCCTTATTATGGAAGTGGCCATCATTGCTAGATTTAAAAATTCTGCCATGGTTATACAACAAAATTTAGTATATCCATATAACGGAACATAATTCGGCCATAAAAAGGAATGAAGTATTGATATATGCCACATGGAAGAACCTCAAAAGTACGACACTGAGTAAAAGCCAGGCACAAGAAGCCACACAGGGTACGATTCCACTTATATGAAATATCCAGAATGGGCAAATGTCTATAGAGAGAAAGGTGAGTGGTAGCCAGGGGCTGGGGCAAGGGAGGAGTTGGGAGTGACCGCTAATGGGTACGCAGTTATTGTTCGGGATGACAAAAATGTTTTAGGACTAGATAGAGGTGGTGGTTCCACAAATTCGTGGACGTACTAAACACCACTGAATTGTACACTTTAAAATAGTTAATTTTATGTTATGTGAATTTCACCTAAAAAAATTCAACATTGTACCCTTAGACCCTCCAAGACTAATCAGCCAAACAATATACTCTTCGGTGACTGAACTATTTAACCAGCATTATACAACTGATGACTCCACATCAGGAAATCTGGAATGTGGAAATTTGGAAGATATGATGGTGTCTGATCTTGAGCTCCTGCCAGTCACCCCTTGAAGCCTCCCCTAATATGTGACAACACCGTTACACTAGCAGCCTAATTTCTTAGAACTCTAGAAGAACAGATGCAGGAGCACATGGATCCAGGCCATTCAAAGTGGTTTTGAACCATTACTATTAGCTATAGAGTGGACAGAAGTTGGTATCGAGAAACACGAAGATTCCCCTGCAATCTACTCAAACTGCTTGATGTCACAAGATACTCCAGCAAACCCTGAACCACACGGTGGTGCCAAGGCAGTGGTTCTGAATGAGCAAGAGAAGCTCTGGGGTCTAGGCTTAGCCCATCAACAGGCCTCTGGCCAGTCAACAAAGCTGCAATCATTTGATGTCACCCCTTACAGGTTCCTCCATAAAATAACAGTGATTAAAGCAAAGATCGATAGCCAAGTCTAAAGACTACGTGCTTCATGTCCAAAAGTGACTAAGAGACCCAAGTTGCCTCTTGTGAAAAAGGGAACTGGCATAAAGCTTCTTAGGAAACAAAAAGGCTCGTCAACTAAAAAACTACAGGAGAGAGGAGGAAGCCCTGAGTCTCTCTAGACAGGACTGAACCCAGGTCAAACTAACAAAGGCCCATACGCTGGCAGGAAGCTTTGAGTGCACCCAGACAGGACTGAACTCAGGTCAATCTAATCAAGGTCGACACACTGGAACTAGGACGGCCCTTCAAGCGCACAACCTTCACTGAGGCTTACCATGTCATGCAAGTTAAATTATTAAGGCCAGCTTTTAAAGTGTGTACATGGGGCGGGGGGGCATTTTCTAGGTTTCATTATTTTATTCTGTTAAAATGTACACAATTCTTGAAATAAAAATCTAGACAATCCAGTGGAAACAGCAAATAAAATCTCTAAACTATGAAAAAGTCTCAAACACTTTAATTGTGACCTTGTGAAAAACGACTCATATAATCTGGCACCAAGGATACCCATATGTATAAGGGAAAGAAATTACTCTTAAAATGTCCTTAGGGTCGCCTTACAAGGGGCTGGCAGGCCAATCATGTTGATCAAACAAACTACATAAGCTTATGGATCACTTTGACTGTTTTGGTATACAGCACGCTAGAGGGAGGGGGAGTTAAATTCATCCCTGCTCTTGGATCTCCAATGTCGGCAGCTGGGGAACGCTCCTTTCCCGCATCCTGAACATGGTCGCTTTCCCCAAGCTAAGTTCCTGTCCACTCTGCCCCTTTCGTCCTAAAAGCTGGAGCGAGCTATCTCCACCTGCCCAGGTGTGCATCCTAACTCATGCTACCTGGCTCCAGCCCGGCCTCCGCAGTGACCCCTAAGGGTCACAAAAGCCCGGCTGCTGCAGTCAGTGGGACCTTTTCAGCTGCTCTTTGGTCAGCACTGCTGATGGCTCCTTCCTCCTTTAAACTCCATCCTCTTGGTTTCCACACATTCTAGTCTCCTGGTTTCTCCTACTCGCCCTTCTCCGTCTCCTTTGTGGCTCTTCTCCCATCCTGAAGCTTGTCCTCACCCTCCACTCCCCTCTACACGTTACCGTGTCCCTTCGCCGGTGGCTCTCTGGGCCTTAGCCAGGACAATCTTTCTGCTCCTATATGTCACCATCGCCTACCACTAAGGGTCCGTGCATTCTGTTTCTTCTGCCTGGAGCTGCACAAGGCTGGCTGCCCCTGGCACCTCACTTTTCCTCTGGCTAATTTCCAGAGAAATTCTCGAGTTCAACTCACACCCTCAGCATTTGACACCACTCCCACACCCGCATCCTACAGGTTCCTGGAACCCGTGCCTTAGCCCTTGTCCCAACTGTGGTTAAACAGTTGTGCATCTGGTGCCTGTCTCCCCTGCTGGGGCATCAGCTCCCTCAACGCCAAAATCACGCCCGGCCCAGCACCAGTCACCCCCAGCAGCACCCTACTGGCCTCTGAATGGATGTGGACTGAATAAATCCCATCCATCACCATGGTTTCCACCACATTTCAAACTGATGTGCACCTCCAGCAGCCTCACTCCTGGGCTGCAGAACTCTACCAGCTCCACAGACGCACAGCTAGGGCCACGCTACAGCCCCCTCCAGGCCCCGTTAGAGCCCCGCTGCGCCTCCCCTTCCCCTCCCAGCGGCAGGGCCTCCCCCGCGAATCTGCGCTTCTGGTGCATTCCTTCCTTGCGCTGTTTTGGTCAACAGCCTCAGCATCTGCACAGACGCCCGCAGGAACAGCCGAGCCCTCGCCTGCCTCGACTGCCCGTTTCGGAGCCGCCCTGGGAAGCCCGCGGCCTGGGTTCCCGCTCGGGCCCGACCCCTGCCCCGCGGCACCTGCCCTCCGCTCACTCCCCGTCGTCCCTCGCGGCTCCGGGTCAAACCCGCGCTCCCTGCGGTCCCGCGCCTCCGACGCCGCCGCTCCCGCTCGCGGGCCCCGGCGCGCTCCTCCCTCGGATCCGCCCGGAACGCCCCGCGGAGCTCGCTGGGCTCGGCCTCCCTAGTCCAGCGCACCGACCTTGGCGCCCGACCCCGACCCCGACCGGCAGAGGCGACGCCGGCCCACCTACCATCTCCCCCGCGCCGCCGGCGTCTCGCCGGCCCCAGCCTTCTGCGCAGGCGCGGCGGCCGCTCCGCCCTCGTCCTCGGACCGCCGCGGCCCTGGGCTCCGGGGCACTGGCGGGAGCCGGCCGCGGGGACTCCCATTCCCGGCATGCTCAGCGCCGCCCGGGGGTCGACGGGAGCTCGCGTCCCGTCGCCCCTGCGCGTCCCGGCCTTTACGAGGGCCTTGGCTCGCCCCTGCGGAGTCCGACGCCGCCCTGCAGCTCCCAGGCCCCGCGCCGGCCGGCAGGTTCTCTTGGAAGGAAGTGGGCGGTGGGTCGGTGCACGGAACTCCACCTCCCGACGTGCCCTGCGCCGCCCGCGGCTGACGGGACCCGCCCCCGCCCCCGCCCCCGCCCCGCCTCTTAAAGAGGGCAGTGAGTGCGGCTGGGCCGGAGTCCTGGGCGGCGGTGCTGGGCGAGGGCGGTGCTGGGCAGGGCGGCGACCGCTCCCTCCCGGCCCTGGTCCCGCCTGGGAAGGGATGCAGGGAAGCCCTTGGGCGCTGCGCTCCGAGGCAGGAGACGGTGTCCCCCTCCGCGCCTCGACTCCTGGCGCCTCAGAGCCCGGCCCAGGCCGCGGAACGGTGATGCTCGGGCCGGACGGGCGGGCGCGGCCTCCTGCGTCCCGGTGAGCGCCAGGCCCGTCCATCCGGGGCTCTTTCCCGGGGGTCCCCTTCCTTCCCTCCCTCCCTGGGGCTCCCCTCCCCTCTCTCCCTCCCCGGGGCTCCCCTTCCCTTCCTCCCTTCCCAGTGGTCCCTTTCCTTCCTTCCTTCCCTCCCTGGGGCTCCCCTCCCCTCTCTCCCTCCCCGGGGCTCCCCTTCCCTTCCTCCCTTCCCAGTGGTCCCTTTCCTTCCTTCCTTCCCTCCCTGGGGCTCCCCTTCCTTCCCTCCCTTTCCGGGGCTCCCCTTCTCTTGCAAGTGCTGTCTCCCGGGGTCGGGTGGTCTCTGTGGCCTGGGGTCCCGCTCCTCCAGGCCTTGCCCAGGCGCTCTTCGCCGAGGCCCATGTTCTAACCTGCAATGGGACCTGCGTTCCCATCCTGGCCGCGCGGTTGGACTCGGGGCCTCCAGGGCCGGCGGCGGAGATGCAGCCCTGTCCCTGGCGCCCCTCCTGTGGCTCCTAACGGCTCCTGGTGGTGTCCATGAGGCGGGGTATGGACGCCTGCGCAGGGAAACAAGATCGCTACGCATTGGGTCCTTATTCACTGCCTGTTTTTCTGATTGTTCTGTCTTCCAAATTTATCTTATTTACTGGTTTTTCCAAAAGGAGTGTCTTAATGTTTGGAGTACTTAGTGAAATATTTGTGGCTTTTTCTCCTACAGGCTTGACTTAAATATTCTGAAGCTTTTTTGTTGTTGTTGAAACAGAGTTTTGCTGTCGCCCAGGCTGGAGTGCAGGGGCTGGTCCAAGGCTCAAGCGATTCTCCCGCCTCAGCCTCCCGAGGAGCTGGGGCCACAGGGGGCACCACGCCCGACTAATTATTTCATTTTTAATAGAGACGGGGTCTTGCTATGTTACCCAGGCTGGTCTCTAACTCCTGGCCTCAAGCATTCGCCCACCTCAGCCTCCCAGAGCGCTGGGAATACAGATAATTGTGGCATAATACAGCAGTGGCATGAACCACCGCACCCGGCCTTAGGTAGAATTTGAAAACCTTTTCATTTTGAGATGGTTGTAGATTCACATGAAGTTGTAAGGAGTAATACAGAGAAATCCTGCAGAGTGCCTTTACCCTGTTTTCTCCAATGGTAGCACCGTGCAAAACCATAGTATACGCAGGAAATTTTCTTTGATCAAATCCCCTGACCTGTTGAGATCACACCACCTATACACGCACTAGTGAGTGTGAATCTACGCCTGTGTGTCTTCTCAATAAAATTGAGATTTTTTTTCACTTAACCTTGAGATACATCTGCATTGTTATGTGTATCAATAGCTCAAGATACAGAAATTCTAAGAATTCATTATTAAAAAAGTAATCCCAGCACTTTGGGAGGCTTAGGCGGGTGGATCACCTGAGGTCAGGAGTTTGAGACCAGCCTGGCTAACATGGCGAAACACCATCTCTATTAAAAATACAAAAATTAGCTGGGTGTGGTGGCGGGCACCTGTAATTCTAGCTACTCGGGAGGCTGAGGCAGGAGAATCGCTTGCACCCGGGAGGCAAAGGTTGCAGTGAGCCAAGATCATGACACTGCACTTGAGCCTGAGTGGCAAGAGCAAAACTCCGTCTCAGACAACAACAATAAAAAACATATTACAGGAATCCAAAGTGTCTTTTTAATAATTAGAACAGCTAAAGATGTTTACTAATTTACTCAAAAAACGTGCTACAATTTAGTAGTCCATAGGATTTTGGAGGCAAGTTTGAAGGTAAAATGAGATGAGTTTGAATAAAGGGTGATTTGTATTTTAAGTGTCCATAAATAATTTGTTTCATGTTATGAGTAAGTTTCAGTGGGATATTTTAGTATAACTACAACTAAAATCCTCAAAGATTTCTCATAAAAATTAATAGGTCCCTTAGAGGGACAACTGATTTTAGGAACCTGATTGAGGAAGGAACCAGAAATGAACATAGAGGTGTCATTCACACATGAGCTGTGTGGAAACTTATTTTTCTGAAGCATAAAATCCGTCAAAGAATCACTTTTTGGGATTTTTTTGGGGAACTGGGAAGTATGAGCTAAGCATCTCAAATTTCTGTCTTGGTTCTGGAAAATACTAAAAGTGCACTTCTGAAGTAGCTGTTGATTTCTTTAGCTCCCTTGGACCAACCGAGAGAAGCTTAGCAATTGAGTGAGTCATTAAAATAACAGCTCAGCTATATGGCTAGGTGTGACTAAATGATTGCCTCATTGTTTGTTTTTAAGGTGGTAAATGTGTGCTTAAGTTGTACACGTGTACTTAAAGTTGTATTGAAACTAACATAAAATTGAGTGATTGGAACAGCACATTATCATTTATTCTACCATGTAGGAAGTTACCTGTTCTAGGTAAGCGAATTCTCCATGGAGCGTGCTTCACCTTTTGGGAGTCAGTCTCCAAGAATGTTTTAAAATTGAACACTTTCTAACCAGAATATAGTCTTTTCTTGGTGACTTTTGCTTGTGATTCTGATCAGTGACTGTTGTCTAACACAGTCCTGCTGAAGTGCAGACAGCCGCGGCCCTCACTGAGTGGTCTGGCCTCCAGGCTTTTTGAGTTCTCCTGTTGGTTTTGCATCAGGTTTGTCTCTTTCTGCCATTTCGTGGTTTGGGCAGAATGCTGCCTCCGGAAATGCCTGGACCTTACTTTTGCTGCAGCTAACCTGCCTTGCCTGGGAAACTGGATTAAACCAATTAGAATTTGGGTTAGCAGTGGAAAGTATAGATATATAGATACACCTTTTAGTAACCAGGTTTCCAGGTCGGGGAATCTTTGGAATATGTGATGGTTGAGTAGGAATTCCTGACTAACAGTCCATTGGATGCTGCTATGAAGAATGGTTAGGTTAATATTTTGTTGTTGTTTGCTTTAAACCGTAAATCTGCGTAAGTGGTAGGTGTTGGTTTTATTGCCTTTTTTGGCTCCTTGTGACTAGTGAGCTCCTAGAGGCCAAATTCCACTGACTAGTTTATTACTCCTTCCTTCCACAGTCTCAGTTTCCCACCTCTAAGCTCATTCTGCCTTAGTGACCTTTGCTGGCTGCTGTCTTCACCTGCTTTCTAAACAGTGCCCCTGTCTGGGCACCCTGCCCTGCCCCTGCTCATCACCACCCGGACGCCACGGCTGCAGCCACGCTGAAACCGTCCGCATTCCCCAAGCAGTAATGTTCAGAAAGCAGGTTTCTGTCTGTGCTATTCCTTGCCAGAATGAATTAATATATATTGTTTTAGGTCTTCCTAAAGAAAGAAAGAGAAGGAGACTGAATTGGGATGATAACAGAAAGTTCTAGAGATCCAGGTATTGTGACATACATATATATATTTATTTATTTAATTTTTGACATCTTGGTAGCACTTGACTGTAGACTGACTTTGGAAATGTGGCAAAATTTCAAATGATTTTAGGAAGCCCACAGAGCTAACAGTAGCTCAGAAGATTTCGTTTCTGGAGTGATGTTGAGCGTGATGTCCCCAGGCAGCCCTCTGACCTGTGAGGGGAAGTTGATGGTATTGATAACATGCTGTCTCTTTTTTTTTTTTTTTTTTTTTGAGCTGGAGTTTTGCTCTTGTTACCCAAGCTGGAGTACAATGGTGTGATCTGGGCTTACTGCAACCTCTGCCTGCTGGGTTCCAGCGATTCTCTTACCTCAGCCTCCTGAGTAGCTGGGATTACAGGCGTGTGCCACCAGGCCCGTATTTTTAGTAGAAACGGAGTTTCACCATGTTAACCAGGCTAGTCTCAAACTCCTGACCTCAGGTGATCTGCCTGCCTTGGCTTCCCAAAGTGCTAGGATTACAGGCATAAGCCACCATGCCTGGCCAACATGCACTCTCTTAAATAGACTTGTTTTCTGTCTTTTGGACTTGGTAGAGTTTGTAGAGATACGAGGCTGTGTTCTCAAAAAAAAAAAAAATTACCTTTCATCCTTTCTGTAAAGATGTAACTGACCTTTAATCATCTCAGCCCTTCACAAGGCACCATACAAGGTGCATCAGCATTCAGTATTTGATTTTAATCTCAGTGCGATAGTTTAGATGTTGATATTTATCTAGGAAAAATGGTATTTTGTTCAGAAAGGTATCAGTTTTCCGGATCTGATTATTTAATATTTCGATCAATAGTAATGAATCATTGTTTATATGTGACAATAACTCTTTTTCAGCTGAAATGTGTATCTGAAATGCAAGCTCACCGGGGCAGAGACCTGTGGATTGCCGTACGCTGCCCTCCGAACCTGGATCATGAAGGTGTTGGGAAGAAGCTTCTTCTGGGTGCTGTTTCTGGTCCTTCCCTGGGCAGTGCAGCCTGTGGAGCACGAGGAGGTGGCGCAGCGTGTGATCAAACTGCACCGCGGGCGAGGGGCGACCGCCACTCAGAGCCGCCAGTGGGTCCGGGACAGCTGCAGGAAGCTCTCAGGGCTTCTCCGCCAGAAGAATGCGGTTCTGAACAAACTGAAAAATGCAATTGGAGCAGTGGAGAAAGACGTGGGCCTGTCAGATGAAGAGAAACTGTTTCAGGTGCATACATTTGAAATTTTCCAGAAAGAGTTGAATGAAAGTGAAAATTCCGTTTTCCAAGCCATCTATGGACTGCAGAGAGCCCTGCAGGGGGATTACAAAGATGTGGTGAACATGAAGGAGAGCAGCCGGCAGCGCCTGGAGGCCCTGAGAGAGGCTGCAATAAAGGTCAGTCCTAGAGAGGGAGAGGGAGGGAGGAAAGGAGGGAGGGAGGGAGAGAGAGAGGTGAAGAGAGAGGGAGAGTGCGTGCCCACATCCGCATCCTAGAGAGACCCCACCTGGAGCTGTGGGAGCAGACGGGAAGGGAAGGTGTGAGTGCGGCTGATGCCTCTCAGGTGTTGTCTTTCATAGGAAATCACATCTAGAAAAGTCTCTCATGTGAGGGAGAATCTTTTCCTTTTGCATAATACTGTAGTTCGTTCTTCTAGGAGCCACTCTCATACTTTTCTCTATGGAGAAATCCCCTGGTAATTCAAAAAGTTACTCAAGTTGTACTAGTAAACTGATGTAGAAATAAATATAACTTAAATCAGCATTTTGATGAGTTTCTGACAGGAGTTCCTTTTAGTGTGAAGTTTGACTTTTCTTCAGTGTCATACATCGAAGATAAAAATATTAAAATTAGTTTTAAACTAATGTATGCATTTAAAATTAAGGACTTTGACCAAGGACGCTTTTAAAATGATGAGAAGTTTCTGAACTTATTGCATCAGATGTTGTATTATCTATTTACATTTTTTAAAGCCATCATTTCTTGAGTACCTCTTCTATGGCAAGCATCATGCCAAACCCTTTCTTTTTTTTTTTTTTCGAGACGGAGTCTCGCTCTGTCGCCCAGGCTGGAGTGCAGTGGCCGGATCTCAGCTCACTGCAAGCTCCGCCTCCTGGGTTTACGCCATTCTCCCGCCTCAGCCTCCCAGGCCCTTTCAATGTGTAAAGTATTGTGTCATCTTCATAGAAAAACCTGTGGTACAGCATCAACATGAGAGAAAATACAGACATTAAACTTTTTTTACCAAAATATATTTTGGAGGAGAGAAATATCATCAGGCAAATGGATAAATCAAGGTTTTCAATAATACTGATTCATTCGTCTTCCCTGTGTGATATGTGCATGAGCTGCTGTGACCCTGTGTACAGTGGAGACATGAAGATCCATTGGTAGGGTCCAGATGTGTGGTGGTTTTATTGTAGAGAAAAAACATGAGTTTGAGTAACATTGGCTACCAATATGCACAGTTCATAACACATCAACAGTATTTTAACATACACTAGTTATTATTTCCTGTGCCGAGATTCTCCAGGTGCTGGTAAACCAGCTATACTAGCCCTCCAGTCACGTGCTCGACCTGCAGCTGTGTGATAGACCTGCAGCTACGTATCAGGTCTGCAGTTGTATGTCAGTCGAACCTGCAGCTCTGTGATAGGCCCCCGGCTGTGTGCTACACCTATAGCTGTGTGTCAGGTCTGCTAGACCTGCAGCTGTGCATCAAACCTGCAGCTGTGTGAGACCTGCAGCTGAGTGAGACCAGCTGTGTGAGACCAGCTGTGTGAGACCAGCTGTGTGAGACCAGCTGTGTGTGAGACCTGCAGCTGAGTGAGACCAGCTGTGTGAGACCAGCTGTGTGAGACCTGCAGCTCTGTGAGACCAGCTGTGTGTTAGACCTGCAGCTGTGTGAGACCAGCTGTGTGTTAGGCATGCAGCGGTGTGAGACCTGCAGCTGTGTGAGACGTCAGCTGTGTGAGACGTCAGCTGTGTGAGACGTCAGCTGTGTGAGACGTCAGCTGTGTGAGATGTCAGCTGTGTGAGACCAGCTGTGTGAGACGTCAGCTGTGTGAGACCTGCAGCTCTTTGTCAGTGGCATCAGATGATGTCTCGTGACTACTTGGTAATTGAGGCAGTGATGTTCTTCTAGACTCTGGTCCTCTCTGCTCTGGCCTATGTCCCACCCCTTTAGCTAAGAATAAATGTTTAAAAGTAAGGTTATTGATAAAATATAGTTGTGTAAAATACATTACTGAATTCTATTGTCAGCATCACCCATCAGTTCTTCAAATGATTAATGCTGTTGGTTTCTACATGTGTTTTGGAACAGTTTTCCCTTGTAACTTGAATTTGTGCATTGAATTTAGGTGGTAGTTCCACATTCAGGTCTCACATCTGGTTTTAAAGTACCGCTGCACTCACACACGATAGGCCTGGAGCACAGTCACTATTGAGTCAATGAGTTTAGTGTGGATAGATGACCTACAGATACTACATTTACTTTTGTGTAACAAATGTTTCTTACATGTATTCATGTACATACACAAAAAACTTCCCCTAAACATTTGGTTAAGCTCAGTTGTGTTTGAATAACTAGGACACGTGACTTCCCTAGCTGACCAGAGTTAAGTTATTGACGTATGAACAGGGACATTTGACAAAGAAAGCAGGAGGACTGATTAAGAAAGTCATGTCATAGCTTATTTCTTAATATAGCTCACTCTTCTTTTCTTGCAAATGATTAGGAAGAAACAGAATATATGGAACTTCTAGCAGCAGAAAAACATCAAGTTGAAGCCCTTAAAAATATGCAACATCAAAACCAAAGTTTATCCATGCTCGACGAGATTCTTGAAGATGTAAGAAAGGCAGCAGATCGTCTGGAGGAAGAGATAGAGGAACACGCTTTCGACGACAACAAATCAGTAAGCGTTCCCGAACAGCTGCTGCTTCACCCCCGAGCCGCTCGCTGATCGGAAGACGTGTTGTTGAAATTGTTCACATGTATGTTTTTAGTGTAGATTGAAAATGAAGACAAACTAAGACGCTTCTCAGTCATAGAGAAAATAATTTGGTCTTGTAGAAGTCAGCTAATTATCCTTTACTTTAACACCGACAGTCAGTTCCGCTCCTCAGCAGCTTGTCTTCATTTTCCAGAGGCCAGATGGATTGGGACACTGGGACTCTGGTCTCAGGACAGCCTGGACAGTTGGGTTTTAATGCTGATCTACTGGGACGTTACCAGAAACGGGTCCCAATCCAGACCCCAAGAGAGAGTTCTTGGATCAGGGCGAGTCCATAGAGTAAAGTGAAAGCAAGTTTATTAAGAAAGTAAAGAAACAAAAAAAAAGGCAACTCCATAGGCAGAGCAGCCCTGAGGGCTATTTTTATGATTATTTATTGATTACGTGCTAAGCCAGGAGTTGGTTATTCATGAATTTTCTGGGAAAGGGGTGGCATTTCCTAGAATGGAGGGTTCCTCCTGTTTTAGACCACATAGGGTAACTTCCAGATGTTGCCATGGCATTTGGGAGCTGTCATGGCGCTGGTGGGAGTGTCATTTCACATGCTAATGGATTCTAATTATGTACAGTGAGCAGTGAGGACAAGCAGAGGCCACTTTCATTGCCTTCTTGGTTTTGGTGGGTTTTGGCCGGCTTCTTTACTGCATCCTGTTTTGTCAGCGGAGTCTTTGTGGCCTGTATCTTGTGATACCAATCTTGCCAACCTCCTGTCTCATCCTGTGACTAAGAATGCCTGTCCCTGAAATGCAGCCCAGTAGGTTTCATCCTCATTTCGCCCTGCTTGTGTTCAAGATGGAGTTGCTTTGGTTTGAACACCTGTAACGGGAACAGTGAACTTCTTACAGAAAATGATCTTCATCTGTGAAGCAGGAATTCAGGCTGCTCTTTTGTTGTAGCATGTTTAAGATTCTAAGAAAAAAAGTGGGACTGATGGTGAAAATTGACTGTGGGTCTTAATGAGGACTCATGAAAGGGTTGGGTAATAAAAACAAATCAGAAAAAGATTAGAGAAGAAACCGGAGAGAATAAAAATAGAGTAGAAGAAACAAGGTGTTTTAAAAATCTACTAATTATGGAATTAGAGGAGAACTCATAAGTATTTTAAGGGCTATGAATTTCTTGAAAGAATGGTAAACTAGGCCGGGCGCGGTGGCTCAAGCCTGTAATCCCAGCACTTGAGCCGACGGGCGGGTCACAAGATCAGGAGATCGAGACCATCCTGGCTAACATGGTGAAACCCCGTCTCTACTAAAAAGAATACAAAAAAATAGCCGGGCGAGGTGGCGGGTGCCCTGTAGTCCCAGCTACTCGGGAGGCTGAGGCAGAGAATGGCGTGAGACCCGGGGGGCGGAGTTTGCACTGCACTCCAGCCTGGGTGGCAGAGCGAGACTCCGTCTCAAAAAAAAAAAAAAAAAAAAAAAAAAGAATGGTAAACTAGATCTTGGAAAGTAGCAGAAATCCTAAACCTATCCATTCTTAAATTACTTCTTTAATTGAAAAGTCATAATTCACTGCTAATGAACATTGATTGATACATTTTTAACATTCTTCTGTGTAGCATTCATTCCCTAAAAATTGAAAGCATTTAATGGATTTTAATTGCATAATACTATTATTCTTGCAGGTCAAGGGGGTCAATTTTGAGGCAGTTCTGAGGGTGGAGGAAGAAGAGGCCAATTCTAAGCAAAATATAACAAAACGAGAAGTGGAGGACGACTTGGGCCTTAGCATGCTGATTGACTCCCAGAACAACCAGTATATTTTGACCAAGCCCAGAGACTCAACCATCCCACGTGCGGATCACCACTTTATAAAGGTAGTGAGTCATGGCAGGATGCCCACCTTTCCCCTACTTCCGGGTTCATGGTGTCAGTATGACCAAGCTTTATCCTCCGAACATGATACTGAGGTGCACAGCCTTCCGTCTAACAGATTTTACTAGAATTCCCTGCATTTTCTGTGATTTGAGGCATCTTCCCTTAATTTCTATTTTTTTTTTTCTAAAGGAATAAGATACTTTAATATTTAAAATGAAAGTTAATTTTGTCTTGGAGAATTTGGAAGACTTTGAAATTAGGAGTTACTGTAATGGGATTAAAACTTTAGTCATCTAAAAACCATTTTCACTAAAATTAAAAATCCTTAAAAGGCAGAGAGGTCTTGGCTAAGGAGTTGTATGTGGCTTCATGTAACCCTGGGGTACAGAGCATGAAAACCCATTCAGCAGTGCCTGGCCTTCCAGATGGAACTGGATTCAGACCTGTTTCCTCCCAGGAACTCGGTCTAGACAAAGGCTATGCAGGGAAGTACTTGAAGCTGAGAGCATCGTGGTTCGGGTGGTCACTCAGGAGGGAGTGGCTTGGCCGTGACAGGTGCAGCCCCTCAGGGAAGCTTGGTGCACTGTGTACACTGTCAGGTCTCCAGCAGAGACTGGAGGTTTGTACAGGAGCAGAAACCAAGCCAGAGAATCTAGGCTCAAAGATGGTGCTGTTTCAGGCGAGAGGAAGAGGACCAGCCAGAGAGAGAGGTGGACACGATGGAGTGGGTTCCGTGAGGACTGGGGCTGCCGAGTGATGCTGTCAGGGCCCTCCAAGAAGGGGCGGAGGTCTCTGTAAGGCTATTCTTTCTCCCTTTGTAATGAATAGGCAATTTCTAGGGAGAGGTTTTGAGACTGTAAGTATCCTGCTCCTTGCTGACCTTCAGGGCTGCAGGCGCAGCCGTGCCAGCACCCACTAAAGATCCTGCCTGCACCCGTCATGGCGAAGCCATGTGAATTACAATTTGGACACCAGCACTGAGAGTCTCCCAGATTAGAAAACTCAGTGGAATTCTAGGACTCAGAATTCTTAGAACACTCTTAAGGGGCTTAAGCAAAACAAAAAGTTTGCTAGACAGTCAGCGTCCTCGTGCTCTGCATCCTCAGTTCAACCAACCGTGGATGAAAATATTCAGAAAAAAGACCGAAGAATAACAAGACAGTAAAAAATACAAACAAAATATGACAACAATTTCCATTGTGTAGGCATCATGAGTAATCTAGAGGTGCTTTAAAGTATACAGGAGGATGTGCTGGGTTACATGCACATACCATTCCGTTTGGAATCAGAGACTTAGCATCTGAGGATCCTGGTACGGGGGCTGGGGAGGATCCTGGATCCACTGTCCCAAGGATGCTAAGGGGTGACTGTAATCTTTAGGCCATGAAAAACTCACTCCATCTATTCCCAGAATACACTCTTCATGTTTTCAGCTTCTCTGGAACCCTCAGCATGAGGAAAATCGGTGGTTTTGTCTTCGCCCTTCATTCCCATCAGATGAAATCAGGGAACTACATCCTGTTCTGCGTCTCAGCCAGCCAGCCCTCTTCCTATCATGTTATCTTACACGTTTCTTATTTATTTGATTCTTCTGCAGGACATTGTTACCATAGGAATGCTGTCCTTGCCTTGTGGCTGGCTATGTACAGCCATAGGATTGCCTACAATGTTTGGTTATATTATTTGTGGTGTACTTCTAGGACCTTCAGGACTGAATAGTATTAAGGTAAGAACAAAATTTAGTTGTTTTGGTATCTGTTTAACAGAACATAAAAAGAGAATTCCTGAAGACTAAAAAGTGTTGAATGTGATTAATGAAGATACCAGCTTCGTATAAACCATTTCAAAGAAGATGTCCTTTCAGGTGTCATGGGAAGTCTCTGAACCCTCAGGAAGTCGCTGTGCCTGTTACTGAAGGGGCGTGTTACTGGAGACTACGACCCTGCTCATTTCTGTTAGTTTTTTTTTTTTTTTTTAGTGGAATTCTAGGACTCAGAA